TATATATATATATGTACACAGGAATACAAATGAGAAAGAATGAGAAGTCATAAAAAAGTATGCTAGTAGGCCTAATAATAGACTGGGTGCCTCAAAATTCACGACTCAAATTATTAGAGCAAGAATTCTCGAAAAATTATGTAAAAGAATTGTTTATATATGTTTATTTCAAGTAGCAATTTTTTAGATAATAAAAGTTTAAATGTAGCTAATTCTAGACTACGTTTAAAAGCCATCTATCCATGAGTTGCACGTGTAATTGCACTTCAGCGTGCTCTACTCACAGGTGATCATCTAAACGTAGTTCATAATTGATCATATTTATAAAATCCTAATTCTTATATAAACTCTATTTATATCTGTTTACAATAAAAATTTACAAATAACTTTTTCACTTAATAATTTTTCATTTTCTTGCTATAATATTTCGAATTTTAGGACATCTTGTATAAGTCTTGTATAAATCAATATTTAGTTCTGTTATTCATTACAAGTACTAAAAATAAAGTATACATAACTATAGATTTTTATATACAAATAATGGAATGCAGCCATTATATTGTACCATTAATCGAGTAACATAGTTACGTTCAAAATAAACGTTAGAAATCATCTTTACACTAACAAATAAATATTAAAAATTTGATACATTATTTAATGAACGTTATAAAAACGTTTATAAAATCTTTGTGATATCTATTATAAACGGTTTTTTACTTTAAAATTTTAATTAATTTAAAATTTTTTAAACGCGTTTTGACTATGTTTTTTAAAAAACGTAAATTATTCACTTGGGTAATAAATTGATTTTAAAGTTAATCACCGATTAAGCTGGCGAAATCGCGTTTAATCTTTAATTTAATTGGGTCTTTAATTACCTCGAAATTGATCGCCGCCATTCTCTCGTTCCGCAAGGCTGTCATATTTCTTTAAAGGAAACAGAGACACTTTTATTTCAGACATCTTATTGGACAGTCTATATATTATTTTCAATTTCCACAACTTTTCATAGACAAAAATTATAACCGCCGCTAGATTCGTGATTGAGAAATAATCGAAGCTTATATTTATAAAAAGAAGGGAGAGAGGAGGAAAAAAGGAAAGGTCGCTCTCGTTAAGTCTTAATAACGGCGTAATCACGTCGCGCACAATCACTATCGGTAACAGGAAGAGACGCAGAACGTGTAAACGGTTCATCACATGTGTTGTGGGGGGGGGGAGAGAAATTATGTGTATTATACGTATCGCTGTTGGGCTCTTCTTTTTTCGCCGTATACGTAACAAAAATACACATTTTTCAGGCAAATCTGCTTTGAATTGAACATCGATCGTGCGTTGTTGCAAGATTAAAGCTAATGGCTGGTTTTCTTTTTCGTTTACGATATTTGCCGCTTTAGTTGCAAATATCGGATGTTCTTGATGCCGTGTATCTGTATGTATGTGTATGTGTATATATTTATTTTTTGAAACCTAACTACGTTGAACAACAGGTAAATGTCCTGAACAAAATTATGAATGCTTCCCCGCCATTATCGTATTATTCCATTAAGATATTCCAGTCTCACAAAGGTGACTGGAGTCCCACTTTTTTCTTGCATTGAACAAAGAGATTTAATTATTAAAAAAAATTATTAAAAAACACTGGCAACTTATTGGATTCGAGCACAATCTATAGTTTCGTAACTGTTTAAATGAAATGTATCAATTTGCCATTTATTATTGCTTTCTATATCGATAAAACTTATAATCGACACTTTTTAAAACCTGTTTTCGAAATTGAATAGATTTAATTTTTTTTAAAGAGTAAATACTTTTAAACTAATTTCATTTTTCTTTTAGTTATATTTGATTCAATCCAAATCCATATTTAAATTTAGAAAAAAGAATGAAGAAGTTAAAAAATACTATGGTGAACACCATTTGCTTTTCTTCTTTGTCAGCAATAATAGAATTTAAAAAGACCTGAACATATATATTGTTCGTGTTCAGAAAAGTTAATATTTAGAATCGTAAAAAATAAGGTAATGCCTGATTTCTTGTTAAAATTAACTCCACTTAAGAAGTTCGTTAATAAATAATGCGGCAAAATTGAAACATCCTCGAATACCTGCGGTTAATTTGGGGAGGAAAAAAAGCATAATGCGTAATATCTTCAGTGAAGACGTTACGTGCATGTGTAACGGACGTGTAATTACATTAATTAATTATGTAGAGATGTTCAGTCTCCTCGGAGTGTTGAATATGGAAGGCCGTGTTTGGTTCGAAGATAAACCTTACGAAGATAAACCCCTTCGGTACTGTTAGAGTCTAGACAATAAAATGCACAGACAATAAGAACAGAAAATAATAGACTTCAACCAGAAACCGTGTATTATTCCTATACCGTAATGCATGGTTTCTGATACGTTGAAATCTGTTATTCTCTGTTTCTACTGCCTATGCTTTTAATTTTGTCTAGGCCTTTACGCTCACATTCATCTCTTCTTCCCTCGAGCGTTTCCCATTTTCCAGAAATACGGACCCGATAATTCAAATGCGACAAAGATGATCGATTCGATTGATCAACGTTTGGCTCGCGCTTCCTCGGTCAAACGACGAAAATATATACAGTGAATGCAAAAAGTATTCGTATATACAGAGAAAATATTAAAAAAAAAATTATTTATCTTATTTTTAAGAAGTAAATATTATCCAATGAGAAATGAATCATTGAATTGATATCGAATCGATATCAATACGATTTCAACACCAATTTGATATCGATTCGACTTAAATTGATAATCATT